TTTGGAGGAGGTCCACAGGGGAGCCATGGTAATGATCAGGGAGCTAGAACACCTCTGGCATGAAGAAAGGCTGGGAGAGCTGTGGTTATTAGGCCTGGAGAAGACAAGGCTCTGGGCAGACCTCAGTGTGGCCTTTTGATATATGAGGAGCACTTACAAGAAAGACAGAGAAAGACTTTTCACCAGGGCCTGTAGTGGCAGGGCAAGGGGCAAGGTTTTAAAAGTGAAAGAAGTTAGATTTAGCTAGGTTCCAAGGAAGAAATTTTTCATTATGAAGGTGGTAGGATAAGAGAAGTTGTTGATGCCCTCATTGGAAGATTTCCAAGCCAAGTGGGAGAAGTCTTTGAGCAACCTGGTCTAGTGAAAGATGTGTTCGCCCATGACAACAATGTTGGTCTAGATAATCTTTGAAGGACCCTTCCAACAGAAGTGTGCATGCTATGATTCTGTAGATCACCAAATCACATGGGCTCATAGGAAGGACCTTCCTGAAAGCATTTATCCATACCAGAAGAGGAGAAAAGGGAGTTTTTGAATTTCTGACTGAACTTTGGAAAAGTTTTGTAGAATCATAGCATTATAAAATAATCTGAGTTGGATGGGATCCACCAGGATCCATCAGATCCTGGCCATGTGCAGGACAAGCCAAGAGTTGCACCGTGAGCCTGAGTGTGTTGGCAAATGTTCCCTGAGCTCTGTCAGGCTGCTGCTGTGACCACTTCCCTGTGGAGCTGTTCCAGTGCCCAAACACCCTCTGGGGAGAAATCTTCTTCCTGACATCCAACCTAAACCTTCCCTGACTCAGCTTCATGTCATTTCTTTGAATCCTGCCATTGGTCACAGGAGTGAAGAAATCAGTGCTTGCCTCTCCTCTTCCCCTCATGAAGAAGCTGGAAACTGTGGTGAGGTCTCTGCTCAGTTTCCTCTTCTCCAGGCTTGAACAGGCCAAGTGATCTCAGCTGGTCATCATACGGCTTCCCCTCTAGACCCTTCACCATCCTCATGGCCCTTCTGCAGATGCTCTCTGATGATAAAATGTCTTTCTTATAGTGTGGCACCCAAAGCTGCACACAGCACTAGAGGTGAGGCCAACCAGTGCACAGCAGAGGGAACAATCTCCTCCCTTGCTCAGCTGGTGATGCTGTGCCTGATGTCCCCAGGACAGGGCTGGCCCTCCTGGCTTCTGGGGCTCATGTCCAGCTTGCCATCAACCAGGACCCCCAGGTCTGTTTCCTTGGCACTGCTTTCCAGTGGCTCATTCCCCAGTCTGTACACATAACCAGGATTGTCCTGTCTCAGGTGCAGGTTCCAGCATCTGTCCTTGTTAAACTTCACATGGTTCGATTGCCAGTCTCTGTGATTTGTCAAGGTCTCTCTGCAGGGCCTCTCTGCACTCGAGGGAGTTAACAACTCCTCCCAGTTTAGTATCAATGGTAAGCTTAGTATTCCTTTGACCCTGAATTCCAAGTTGCTAACAAAGATGTTGAAGAGAACAGGGTGAGGATGGAGGCCTGCAGAACCCACTGGTGACAGCTGCTGTTACCCCAGTCCCTGCAACTCCTGGTGCCTGATGTGTGAGAACCAGCCTGGCTGACACAGCAGGCCCTGGTTCCCTGCAGAAGGGAGTGTCTGTGTACAATTACCCTTCTTTTCCTCAAAACAGAGGAGGTCTTGATGTGGGGTACAGATGGTGTTGTTTTAGGGGGCTCCTCTGTCCCAGAAGGGCTCACCTCATCACTGGTCTGGGTTTCTACTTCCAGGGACTCATGCCTGCTGTAGAAGGTGCCAGTCCTACTTGTTCTGTTTTCAGGAGGAGGAGGAAGCTTCCTCTTGGTCTACCACTTCCAAATATCTTTGTCCACTGTATTTTAAAAGTGTTCTGTGACCAGAAGGATCAAGGAAATCACTGCCTGTACTCCTGATTTTTCAACCAATAAGCCCAAGGCCGATTGGTATTTAATAAATAGTCTGTTAGCTTGACAGTTTATTTTAAGGGGAAAATAGAAGACAGATGTCTTTTTTTTTTTTTTTTTTTTTTTTTTTACTGAGTACATCATAATATTTGAAGCAATTATTTTTTTAAAGTAAATTCACCCATTAATTAAGGAAATCAAACTTATTTCTCTGTCCCTCCTCCACCTCTCCACCTGAAAATCTTTACAATAACTTTTTCTATTTCCTTATTTGCTTAGCCTAAAACTGTCTATTATTGTGAAAAACAAAATATTATAAATCCACATAGGTGGTCAAAATTTTGTAGGGTCAGGAAAAGTAACTTTTAGGAAAGCGCTTAGAATGTTCCAGGAATGTGCTGCTACATCAGGTGTTTGGAAGTAGGATGGAGGCCTAGCCTAAACCCAGAAAATTGCGTTTGCAAAGGTTCAAAACAAGTTAGAGGTAAAAGAGCTAGTGACTCTGAGTTATTAGAATGGATTAAGATACAGAATTTGAAGGAAATTTTTATGCTACAAAATTATCACCCAGAAATTTCTCCCCAGTGGTGTGTATCTTTCCCAAGAGTTTCACTTCTGTGCCAATGTAGTTCACAACCCAAAATTCACAGTGGATTCAGCAGGTGAAACTACCACGAAATACAGCATCAGGAGAAAATCAAATACACATCATATTCTTTTCATCCGCTCTCACATGATGTTATTCTGCTGGTTGTCTTCCCTAGAAAAAAGCCTCTCTGAAATACCACCACATCTCTTGACAGTCTTTTAAGTACAACCCAGTCAAGATAACCTAGCACCACTGACAAGTTCATAAAACGGACCCCACCATCATCAAACCTTTAAAAGATAGTGTGTGGTATTTTATTACTAAAATATAAAGTGAAAGAAGTCAAATAACTGCATTTACAATCATGTGAATTCTTCACTTGGGTTTCCAATTCTTTCCTGCAGTGTACTACAAATGCTCAAACAGGACTATCCCATCGTTATCGAACAAATCTCAAGAAAAAAAATTTTTATGATTTTTTATTTACCCCACATCACAATAGTCATACATTGGAAAAAGCCATGCGGTTGCTTCTCACTGTAGTTCTGAGGAGAAATTGTTTGCTTAAGTCACTTGGATTACATTATTTTATTATAGAAATGCCTGCAGCTTCATGTCTGTTTTTCATAATGAAAACAAGTACATTGTATTTTGATTTCATTTTTCTCTTTGTAAAAGTGTTGTTTGTGGTTGACAGAATTCCTGTATTATAATGTAAAAGCAATTAGAAAAATAAACACTACCTTAAAATAAGGACATACAAATGAACAGGCTTATCTATTGCGCATCATGAAAATGAGTGTTTTGGAAAAAAAATGGGCATATAGTTAATTAAAATAATAATACAAAGAAAGAAAACAGAAAACACAGGGGGACAGAGAAGTATGTACATATATGAGTGTATAAGTATTCTGGGATTTTAAAGATAGCTGATCATTTAAGAGAGTCGCTTTTCAGGTTAATGCTTCTGGGGAAAATTGTCTTTTTTTTACTTTTTACCAAGTCTTGCTAGACCCAATAGGGACTATGTCCAAAGGTTTCATTATTTTCAAGAGATGAAGTCGTGATATGGAAAACAACTCATATTCCAGATACAGAGCTAAGTGACCACCTTGTGTTACTTCCATCTTTTCAAAGCTGATTTACGCTAAGATAAGGTCTCGAGATAACCCCCATTTTGCAGCACCTCAGTGAAAAACCCTCTCAGAAACATGTATCCGATGTCACTGAGGCAGTGGTGTCAGAAGCAAAGTTTTAATTCAAAAGGAGAAATAAAAATCTTATGGTCCAGCTCTGAGTGCAATCCCCAAACTCGGGGATTACTGGGTCGCCTAAAACTCACTTCAAGTCCCGGTTGACAGACACGTCAAAAAGACAAAAAAATTCTCTGTCCTCAGCAAGAATGCTAAGAAACGGGGTGCCGCGGTCCAGTTTCTGTTAAGAAAAAGGATTTTTTTGGGAGGCCAGAAACGCAAGGCGGGCGGCGGGGAGCGGAGCAGGGGGCGGGGCAAGCCCGGGAGCACCAATCAGCGTCCGCCGCGCTGCTATAAAAGGAGGCGCCGCCGGTTCCGCCGCACTCGCGCAGCGCCGCCATGTCCGAGAGCGCGCTCAACCTCGCCGCCGAAACCGCGCCCGCCGCCCCGGCCCCGGCCAAAGCTCCCGCCACCAAGAAGCCGAAGAAGGCGGCGAGCGGCTCCAAAGCCCGCAAGCCCGCGGGGCCCAGCGTCACCGAGCTGATCACCAAGGCCGTGTCCGCCTCCAAGGAGCGCAAGGGGCTCTCCCTCGCCGCGCTCAAAAAGGCGCTGGCCGCCGGCGGCTACGATGTGGAGAAGAACAACAGCCGCATCAAGCTGGGGCTCAAGAGCCTCGTCAGCAAGGGCACCCTGGTGCAGACCAAGGGCACCGGCGCCTCCGGCTCCTTCCGCCTCAGCAAGAACCCCGGGGAAGTAAATGAAAAAGCACCAAAAAAGAAAATTTCGGTGGCTAAATCTAAGAAGCCGGTGGCTAAGAAGCCCGCCAGCGCTGCCAAAAAGCCCAAGAAGGTGGTGACAGCAAAGAGCCCCAAGAAAACCAAGAAGCCAGCAACCAAGAAAGTAGCCAAGAGCCCCAAGAAAGTAGCCAAGGTGGCAAAGCCCAAGAAGGTTGTGGCAGCAGCAGCAGCAGCAAAGAGCCCAGCTAAGGCAAAAGCGGTGAAGCCCAAATCACCCAAGCCAAAAGCTGCAAAAGCAAAAGTGGCCAAGCCAAAGAAGGCAGCACCCAAGAAGAAGTAAGCCTTTCGCTAGGAAAGACTTGCTGTTCATTTAAACCCAACGGCTCTTTTAAGAGCCATCACACTTTCTTAAAAAGTGCTGAAATTACATGTGTTCATGTAAAAAGTTTTTCTACAAATTTCGAAGTTCAGTAGGTAGAAAAATACATGCAGGGCAGAAACTGTTCTAGAAAGTTCAGAAGTTTGCCTTCAGAAAAAGCTATTGTGATAGGTCAGTTTAAACAACACATAAAAGCAATTCAGCTCTTTAATGAGAAGGTGGGTGGCTCTTAAAAGAGCCTTTGGGTTTCTCACGGTTTAACTTCACAGCCTTTGTTCTTCAGCGCTCACTTGGCTTTGGCCTTGTGGCTGTCGGTCTTCTTGGGCAGCAGCACGGCCTGGATGTTGGGCAGCACGCCGCCCTGCGCGATCGTCACCTTGCCCAGCAGCTTGTTGAGCTCCTCGTCGTTGCGGATGGCGAGCTGCAGGTGGCGGGGGATGATGCGCGTCTTCTTGTTGTCGCGGGCCGCGTTGCCCGCCAGCTCCAGGATCTCGGCCGTCAGGTACTCCAGCACGGCCGCCAGGTACACCGGCGCGCCGGCGCCCACGCGCTCCGCGTAGTTGCCCTTGCGCAGCAGCCGGTGCACGCGGCCCACGGGGAACTGCAGCCCGGCCCGCGACGAGCGCGACTTGGCCTTGGCGCGCGCCTTGCCGCCCTGCTTCCCGCGCCCGGACATCGCAGCGACTCAGCAGCAGCAACAGCGACCGCAGCAAACCCGGAAAAGCCGAACGACCTCCGAGCCCGGTTCGCCGCCTGCATTATATACAACTCGGGCGGATCGGCAATGCCACTTGTGATTGGCTGCGAGAGAGAACTCGTTCGACAGCCAATGGAAAAGTGAATCGAGATCTGGCCAATAGCGAACCCCGGCGCCGTTTGCCGAGATGAAGGCGAGCCAATAGCGACGCGGCGCTGCCGGCGGCAGCGGTATAAAGGCGGCTGCAAGAGGCAGTGTCGCTGCTGTGAGCTCTCGGTGGCTGTGTTTGGTGACTGAGGAGCTGCGGTAGCTGCCAAGATGCCCGAGCCGGCCAAGTCCGCCCCCGCGCCCAAGAAGGGCTCCAAGAAGGCGGTGACCAAGACGCAGAAGAAGGGCGACAAGAAGCGCAAGAAGAGCCGCAAGGAGAGCTACTCCATCTACGTGTACAAGGTGCTGAAGCAGGTGCACCCCGACACGGGCATCTCGTCCAAGGCCATGGGCATCATGAACTCCTTCGTCAACGACATCTTCGAGCGCATCGCGGGCGAGGCGTCGCGCCTGGCGCACTACAACAAGCGCTCCACCATCACCTCGCGGGAGATCCAGACGGCCGTGCGCCTGCTGCTGCCCGGCGAGCTGGCCAAGCACGCCGTGTCCGAGGGCACCAAGGCTGTCACCAAGTACACCAGCTCCAAGTAGACGGTTTCTGCCTCCTTTCTCCAATAATTTCAACCCAAAGGCTCTTTTAAGAGCCACCCACTTTTTCAACAAAAGAGCTTTAATTTCTTTAATCTTTTTCATAGTATATAGTTTAAATAGCATTGTCATTACTTTTAAACCCCAAATAACAAAAACGTTTTTTAGTTCAGTAAGAAACATAAACCCTATTTAGGTCCTATTTTGTTTTTTCTGGGTTGCACCTTGTTTTCCCTACCGAGCCCTGATATTTACTGACCAGCCTTCATTTTCTTATGCATAAGGTGCTTCAACCGCCGGGTGTTCAAAGGGCAGCTCCTCTGTGCTGTCCACCTACTGTGTGCTCTTTGCCGAAGTCCTTTCTGAAAATGGAAATAAAAATGCTTAAAATACTTTCCCCGCCCCGGGCCTCTGGTATCAGCCTTGGTCTCTCCCCTCTCCTATCTATACCACAAAAAATTGCCATATATTTGAAAGGTGTCTTTAAGAATTCATTAATTTATAAGGAAATACATTTTTTTTTAATGTCTACACTTTTTTTGTCTTCCCGATCTGAAAAATAAGATTGGTCTAAAAGAAATACATTCAAATATTACTTAAGCACTTAAATTAATTATGTTTATTGTTGTAAGATTCCAAATAATTGCTTCATAAGAGCTTCAGAACTAAACAGCATTCATATAGTTATTTTTAGTAAGACCTCAGATTAAGGTATATAGGAAAAATTGCAAATACTGATGAAAAAATGGTCCGGAGGGACACTATTCGAGTGGCACTTGAAAAGTGTAGACCTTAAAAACACAACTTATTGGATGAAAAGTAAAATAATGGGTACAAAATAAAGGCACAGAATTCTTTAAATGAAAGAATTGGCAGTTCTTAAAAGTCACAGTCGCTGCCTGACAAGAGAATGGAGGCAGTCACCATAGACCCAAAGGCTCTTAGTTGAAGAGCCACTACAGGCATAATAAAGACTCCAGCACAGCTTTGAAAACTAAAAAAATTATGCAACTAAAAAATCTATCGGGCTCCAGAATAGGTAAGCATTTCCCAGGGCTCATTTGAAATTTTACGACGGCGCCCTAAAACATTTGAGTTTCAGCAGCTTGACCTGCGTATCACAGAGCAGCTGTTACAAGTGCCCAAATTTTTTTAGGTAAAGACCCCTTTTAAACTATGAGGGTTCCCCCCCACCCAAGTACTAAAACAGCCATTTGTTTTAATTCAGCGACACAGCTCTTTTAATTGTGCATTTAGTGGCTCTTAAAAGAGCCTTTGGGTCTGCATGGGTTGCCTCAATGCCCGGCCAGTAAGGACTGCGGCAGAGAACTTAGGCGCGCTCGCCGCGGATGCGGCGGGCCAGCTGGATGTCCTTGGGCATGATGGTGACGCGCTTGGCGTGGATGGCGCACAGGTTGGTGTCCTCGAAGAGCCCCACCAGGTAGGCCTCGCTGGCCTCCTGCAGCGCCATGACGGCCGAGCTCTGGAAGCGCAGGTCGGTTTTGAAGTCCTGCGCGATCTCGCGCACCAGCCGCTGGAAGGGCAGCTTGCGGATCAGCAGCTCCGTGGACTTCTGGTAGCGCCGGATCTCGCGCAGCGCCACCGTGCCGGGCCGGTAGCGGTGCGGCTTCTTGACGCCGCCCGTGGCCGGCGCGCTCTTGCGGGCAGCCTTGGTGGCCAGCTGCTTGCGGGGCGCCTTGCCGCCCGTCGACTTCCGCGCCGTCTGCTTCGTGCGCGCCATGGCCCAGCACCAGCACACAGCCCCTCCCGCGCAGCGCACCGCACACTGAGCCCGCCGCTCCGCCGCCCCGCTATTTATAGCTCCGGCCCCGCGCCCGCGCGACGCCGACCGGCTGCCATTGGACACTTTTCACGACCCCCCGGAAAAGCCCCGCCTCCGGGGCGGGAATCGCGCCTTGGCCTCGCCCCCGCATCCGCCCCCTTCCAACAGCGCCTTGCAAGGAGCACCGGGGCGGCGGCGGCACCGCAGCCGAGCGGTGTAGAACGGTGCCGCTGCCCGAACCTCGGGCTCGCCCTGTTTTTTCTGACGCCGCTCATTGCCGGCCTCGGAAGCGCTGGCTAAAGCTGCCGTCAGCAGCCGCCACATTCCCCGGGGGCTCGCGGTTTCTTCCCGCTCAGTAGCATCGTTCGTTTCAAGGCCGCGGCAGAAAGGCTGAAGGCGCAGGCGGCAGCCGACTTCCCTGGCCCCGCCGAGCTCTCCCGGCTGCCGCCCCGGCCCGCTGGAAGCGCCGCGTCCCTTGCCGGGAGCGCGGCCCGGGGAAGCGCGCGCTCGGGGCTGCGAGCCGCGACTACCGCCAATCAGCGCCGCGCCGGGAGGGGCGGGAGCGGCCGGGCCCGCCCGCGGGGAGGCTCCGCGCAGTCCTCACTCAGGTCGGACCGAGCGCGGCAGCGGCGCGGCCCCGGCTCTGCCCGCCCGCCTCCTGCCCCGTCCGCGGCTCGGCGGCGGCGGGTACGGGGCGCGGGGAAACGGCGGGGGGCGGACGAAAGCCGGGAAAAAGCTACACTGGGGAGCCTGTGCCAGCTGGCAGTGCCCATGCAGGACTGGGCAGTTTGGGGAGGATAATGCAGGTCATCGTCTGTCCCACTTTTCTTTCCAGGTCACATGCAAAAACACATTTTGGAGGTGGCAAAGAGCAGCTAACCAGCCCGGATTCCCTTACTCAGAAACAGTACTAGAATACAAGGAGATTAGGGACAGTGGGAACTGCCTATACTTTTTATGCGCCCAATTCAGCCATTGAAAGAACAGGCGTGGGGTTTTTTTTGGTGGTTTTTTTTTTGTTAGTTTTTTGTTGGTTTTTTTTTCTTTTCCGTTTGCGTGACATAACTGGAAAACAGCACGTAGCCATGGTCAGAGGATTTATTCTGGCTGGTTGAGACCGAAATGGTTAATTTACACACCAATCCTGCAGTGCACATGCAGGTAAAGTGGACTTTTAAGAGAGGCAGGACAACACGCTAAGTTTAGTGCAAACACCTTAATTTCTGCTTTCCTTTAAAATTATGCGGTTTACACTGTAAAAGGGTAATTCCCACCCAGTCCCCCCTCTAATGGAAAAAAAAAATCGAAACAGGAACACGCCACAGGACCAGCTCTTTTACTGAGAAGGTGGGTGGCTCTTAAAAGAGCCTTTGGGTTGAAATTATTGGAGAAAGGAGGCAGAAACCGTCTACTTGGAGCTGGTGTACTTGGTGACAGCCTTGGTGCCCTCGGACACGGCGTGCTTGGCCAGCTCGCCGGGCAGCAGCAGGCGCACGGCCGTCTGGATCTCCCGCGAGGTGATGGTGGAGCGCTTGTTGTAGTGCGCCAGGCGCGACGCCTCGCCCGCGATGCGCTCGAAGATGTCGTTGACGAAGGAGTTCATGATGCCCATGGCCTTGGACGAGATGCCCGTGTCGGGGTGCACCTGCTTCAGCACCTTGTACACGTAGATGGAGTAGCTCTCCTTGCGGCTCTTCTTGCGCTTCTTGTCGCCCTTCTTCTGCGTCTTGGTCACCGCCTTCTTGGAGCCCTTCTTGGGCGCGGGGGCGGACTTGGCCGGCTCGGGCATCTTGGCAGCTACCGCAGCTCCTCAGTCACCAAACACAGCCACCGAGAGCTCACAGCAGCGACACTGCCTCTTGCAGCCGCCTTTATACCGCTGCCGCCGGCAGCGCCGCGTCGCTATTGGCTCGCCTTCATCTCGGCAAACGGCGCCGGGGTTCGCTATTGGCCAGATCTCGATTCACTTTTCCATTGGCTGTCGAACGAGTTCTCTCTCGCAGCCAATCACAAGTGGCATTGCCGATCCGCCCGAGTTGTATATAATGCAGGCGGCGAACCGGGCTCGGAGCTCGTTCGGCTTTTCCGGGTTTGCTGCGGTCGCTGTTGCTGCTGCTGAGTCGCTGCGATGTCCGGGCGCGGGAAGCAGGGCGGCAAGGCGCGCGCCAAGGCCAAGTCGCGCTCGTCGCGGGCCGGGCTGCAGTTCCCCGTGGGCCGCGTGCACCGGCTGCTGCGCAAGGGCAACTACGCGGAGCGCGTGGGCGCCGGCGCGCCGGTGTACCTGGCGGCCGTGCTGGAGTACCTGACGGCCGAGATCCTGGAGCTGGCGGGCAACGCGGCCCGCGACAACAAGAAGACGCGCATCATCCCCCGCCACCTGCAGCTCGCCATCCGCAACGACGAGGAGCTCAACAAGCTGCTGGGCAAGGTGACGATCGCGCAGGGCGGCGTGCTGCCCAACATCCAGGCCGTGCTGCTGCCCAAGAAGACCGACAGCCACAAGGCTAAAGCCAAGTAAATGCTTGGTGAGGCTAATCACGAAACAAAGGCTCTTTTCAGAGCCACCCACATTCCTCATAAAGGGTTGAGTCACTGCAGTTATGATTGTGTGAAGAGATACTGGAACGCCTAAATTGTCTTCCAAGTTTTTAATTATGCAATTCTTCGTTTTAGTCTTTCTGTTTTTTTACAGATGTTGTCTTTATGGTGCTTTTTTTTTTTTTTTTTTTTTATTTATTAAGAGCTAGTGTTTTTATCACCGGGAATTTTCATCATTTATGCCTTTTTAGAATTTCTTAATCGGCTAATATTTTCATATTTTCAGTGTCTTAACAGTGGGAAGTAGGGGTTTTATAATGGCGTAAATATCACGTGTCCTGGCCAGCCAACTCAGTGTTTGCTGTCAGTGCTCTGTTCAGTACGTAGTATATAAGAACAATAAAGTCTTAACAGTCTGGATTGTTTCCTTTAAGCGTACTAAATAGGAGCTAATCTGTATTGTACCTTCATATTTCAGAGAAAGGGAAGGGAAGCAAAACTTGCAGACAAAAAATAGCCCTGAATAGTATTACGCAGTCCTGGCAGTGACTTGAACTGTTTTTCAACAGGAGGGGTGTTCCTAGCCTCGGATCCCTGACTGATCTACTTTTGCTGCCTTTTAGCGCTCATGTGTGAAAGAGACTCACCGGCTTTCCTTGACAGAATTGTAGAACGCTAGGGAAATGTTTCAGGCAGAGAGGAGTTGCCCCATACCACAGGGAGCAGTTACCAGTGTTGCCAAGGAGCGGTCTGATGTTATGTGCCGCTTCGGTGGTCACTGCACCACACTGGAAAGAGCACGATCGCTTTTAATTTCGGGTTTTTTTGGGCACTGATTACTGGATCTTCACCCTCTTCTCCCTGTGGTATGGGGAGTTTCGAGCCGGCAACTTGGTTTTGGGAGAAAGTGAGTCATTCTTTGAAGAGCTGCTGCTCTTACAGCAGGTCACACTGTTGCCTTAAAGTCCAATTCTCTGGTGCTGCCCTGCAGGTTTCTGATTTCCTTCTGGTTTTACTGGGGCTTTTCCTGGCTTATTTTTCCCTTAGCATCTCGTGCAGGCTCTTGGCTGCAGAAGACAGTAGCTTCTTGCCTTCATGAGGCTTTGTCTTGCAGATCGTAGCAACGAGGGCAGTTTTTAACATGACAATGTCGTTTCCCATCTCTATCCTCCTGTATAGGAAAAAAAAGAGATGTGACTTAGCATCTGTGACCTGGTGTTCGATGAATTTCATTTTCCTGAAACTGAGCCAGTGGTAATTTCACCCTTCCACAGAGGAAGAAGTCTACATTCCCCTCTCTGTCACCTTGTTCCACTTTATGAGACTGTCCTCTGCATATTGAATTGTAGCGAATAATGGGAAAAACTTCTAAGAAAAACCGTGTGTGTACTCTCGATGTTGTGTGACTAGAATAAAATTCTAGATTGTAGGCTGTAGAAACTTCCAACAGAACAATTTTATGGCTTTCTTTTCCTTACAAAAGAGTACTCTGATATTGGGGGTGCAGTGGTAATAGTCAAGAAGATATATAATTAATTATTATTGTAGTAATTTCTCTCATTTTTTTTTCCTGCTAAAGAATGTGCTCGGTTATTATGTTGTTGTAGTTTTGAGTCACATACTTAGGAAATAAAGCCATAAATTAAAGATAAGGCTACATGAGGTCTGAATTAAGAAAGGTCACAGGACCTGGAATGCATACTGTACAGCCAAACGCTCTTGTGAAAATGCTTTATAGATGTGGTTTACCAAACCCAGGATAAGTGAGCAGAACAGTTATTGAAAACAGGTATTTCCCAACAGTGAACACCGGCAGCCTCCTTTGATCGGCACAGATATTTTCCTGCTCCCTGCACTGGGGCCAGGGACGGTGATTTAAGGAGTAATCTGTCTCTGGGAGGAGGGAAATGGCAGGGAAACACGAGATAGAGAAGGACTTCACAGTGGGAATGGGGGTGTTTTGGGATTAGGAGTTCATCAAGTTATGCTAGCTACTCTGTGACTTCCACCAACACCTTGCACTGCAGGAGGCTCCTGGGAACAGAAGGGAGAAGGCAAAGAAAAGGGTCGGATATCTCCTGGAAGGGCAGAGCAGGGCCCTGGATTTTTAAATCCAGAAACAAGACATTTCCTCTTCAGTTTTGCCCCAGCCACCAGTTAAAGTATTTTTTACTTTACCTTTGTCAAGAAACAAACATGTAGGGTGAAGAAGAAAAGTAGATATCATTTGGTTGAGATAAATGCTATAAATTACTCCCAGCTCTTTTGCAGTTCCTGGTGTTTCCCCCTGTTCTTTGTACCATGTCATTTTCTGCTGAGAAATGTGAGCTGCTGTGGGAAATCTGAAGTACAACACATACGCATCCTGTGAGGTTTTGCAGGACACGTAAGTATCAGTTAAGGCTAAAGCTCCAGGAGCTCCAGATGCCTGGGAAATGTGACCATTTCACTTCTCCAATGGGGTTGCTAGCAGCGATTTCAAAAGCCCCCCATGTAGAGAGTAGAAACCGACTCAGAGAAATTTGGCCTCTTGAGCCAGCTCAGCTGAGCCCAGGCACTCAGGTGTGCTTGTGGTGCAGTCAGTCCAGTCTGCTGATGCTTGGAGCACAGCTGAAGGCAGCTCTGTTTAAAGATGTCTTTTGATATGTTGGAAGATTGGGCCTATGTCATTCCTGTAGTAATTTTTGTCCTCTTTTCTAAGAGGAATGGCTGAAGGCACTAACCTTGCTGTGTCCCAGGAGCATAAGGTAAAAAACAAAAACCCAAACTTGATCATGTGGACTGTTCAGATTGTTTATTATTGAGGTGGCTGCTATTTGCTATAAAAAGAAAGGAGGATGCATACCAGAGATGTGTGCATTCCTTCACAGTTCTAATACTGCAAAAAAGATCAATATCCCTTAATCTATTAGAAATTCAGACTTCAGATGTAACACTCTGTGTGCCCTCTTCTTGTTTCAGGAATTATTTCTTCCATTTTCCTACTGCCTTTGCAAGTAAAAATACCTACATTAAACATAAGCAAGTGAGAATGCAAGTACAAAAATATTGTGGATTTTAGGTGGGATTAAAATTCCCATGTGTTCTGTAACTCTTTTTCTAGTTTTTTTCTCTTTTTCTGTAACTACTTGTTTTCTAGTTGTAAAATGAATTATGCTTATAATTGCTTCCTGAGATTTTTCAGTAATAAACATGAAAGGATGAATTTTTTTATTAATACCTTCTGTCATTTTGGACAAGGAATGTTTTTGAAAGGCCCACTTTGATAGGGTTACAGTCAAATAATTTGGTTCTTTGTCAGAATGAAAAAAAATCTAACCTAAAACACCCTTTCCACATACACAGGCCTCTGGTTCTGTGACACCAGCCCTTTCAGGAAAGAGCTGCCTCTGCTCATTGTAATGCTTCTTCCTTCCTCATAGGTGTGTGAGTTGGGAGGGGAGAAGTTCCCATCTACTTTCAGCCCTCTCCTCCAGTGAGATTTGTGTCATGTCTTGAGCTGTGCTGTTCTCTGAATGGCACAACCCTAAGACCAGTTATTTGGAACCTGAAGTCCCAATTTTTTCATTTACCATCTAACCTCAGTTGATTTACATCACTGGCAGAAACCATTACATCAAGGTGTGTGTAAAACCAAACATTTTTCCCTAGCTGCAGTCAATAAATTCTCCTGCAACTGTAATTATTTTAAAATATAATGTTTTCTATTTAAAATGGGAAATAAAGTGTCGGGAAACTAACATTGCAATAAGTTGTCTTGAATGTCAGGTAATTGCATTCTATGGCCATTAAAGAGAATAAATCCAGGTTTGAGAATAGGTACTGGTTTATGACATTAACAAAAACAAAACAAACATTAAAAACTCAAACAAACAAAAAAGACCAACACACCCCACCAAAACAAAAAACTCTCCAAAAAAACACAAAACCTGAAAAAGTAGCAAAATATTTCTGCAGTCTGTGATTTGTTCAGTTTTTGATCTAGGTGTATAGCATCTATTTTTCATTTCTGATTCACTGTTCAGTCAGTTAACTAGAGAATACCGATATTTGTTTGCCCAGCTGGTGTATTTCACTTCAGCAGAAATAAGAGAGCAGGTGTTTTCTTTTTTAAATATGATGATGAATAAACATACATTTTACTGCAGGCATGGTCATCTAAAGAAGATATACCTTATTCCAGGAGTGATAATAATTTTATTAATCTATTAAAAATAAAATGGGGCATTTTTTGTAGCTGGTTGTATTGTTCTTCAGTGTTCTTTTTTGCTGGTTATTTACTAAGCTGTAATGTGACTCCAATCATCTGAGATACAAAAAAATTGTTAATATAAAAAAATATTTTGACAAATATGGTTTAATTACAAAGTGTAAAATTCCCCATAATGCAGATGCTATGAATTAAGGGGTGTTTTGAAGGTAAACATTGAGGGTAGATTAAAAAACAACATGAAGGGCCTGTTTACAGATTATGTGTTCAAACACTTCTCAGTATTGAGAATTGTTGGGATGAATAACTTTGCTTTGCACTGGAAGATCAGCAAGTTAGAGCCCTAGGGCTTATGAGCTGATGAGAGTGTAAACTTTTTGATAAAAATGGTGTCACACACACTGAACAAGCTGAAACTGTCAAGTCAGAAGCAGAATGAAGATGGACCAAGGAACCAATCCCAAGAATGAAATATCTTCAAAAGGAGGCTAGTCCAGTGACCAAAAAAAACCAGTATGACATCAAGGACCACTACCAAGAATTAAGGTACTGGACTGGAGGATTGGATGATGGGTGACACAGATATAACTGGGGTTGCAATCTGGTGTAGGGGGTTCCTCTTTGGAGACACCCAGCTCTATCTGCACTGCACACTGGATAAAAAACTTTTTTACTTACTCAGTGAACTGGAAACTCACCTTCAAAGAGGAACCTAGGGCAGGAAAACTGTTTGAGGGGGCATCTGCTTAGTTCCCTCAAGGTTTGGTAGCAGCGGCAATAATACCTGCTCTACCAGGATGATGTATTTGAGCACCATGCCCTCTTACTAGTACTGGGTGATGTCATCTGGGTAGGGAGTCCTTAAGAATACAAAAGAGGACTGCTCTGAAATAAATAGGAAAGAACAGTAAAAAATACGGATTATGCAAGAATAGGCTCTCATATGATTTTATACTCATGCTATTTGCATTACTGCTTTTGAATTTTCATCCTCTTGTGGCATGAAATATTTAAGATTCATATTTTTACTGACCTTAAATCCTACTACTTTTACCTTTGGTGACAAGACCAAGTTAAAAAAAAATTCTGTGGTAGTAGCTCTTTGTCAGTTTGGAGACTATTCTCAGCACTGTTATAAAAAGTAGAGTTATGTTACAGTCAGATCTGATGTCAAAGGCTCTGTTCACATCGTAGCCCCCTAAAATTGCCTTATCATTCATACTGAATTTGAAAGAGGCAACCAGCAACATTTTGTTTTCTGTTTAGTGAAGAGTTTCATAGGCCTAGAAACAATTTTACACACTGAAAAAATCTATTAAAAAATCCTCTGAATTTCTGTGATGGCTCCTAATGAAGTGTGCAACATGGAACACACAAACAAGCACGTATGAGCTGGGAAGCCAAAAGGCACCACTGAGCTCCTACTGTAAATCAGGCAGCAGGGCTTTCCCATGATAGCTCTGGTTTGAACTGGGGTATTTTCACATGACTGATTATATACAGAATAGCCACTGACAAATTTTTCTGGTGACCATCTTCAACTGTCAAAATATGAGCACTTTGTGCTTTTCTAGTAACCCAGGAAAACTTGGAAAAGCCTAGAGAGTGGACATACAATGGTTTATAAATCTTCTAAGGTATTAGACATATACAGGCACTCAGAATAAGCAGCCTGTATTTCAGACTTTGCACTAAAGCACTTGGAGAGATAGCAAAACATCATTTCAGACTGATAAAGTAGACTTTGGAGAATGCCTCTTCCCATTGGATATCTGAAATTCAATCTGAGAAGTCCCCATAACCCTTCAAACTGAAATTAACATTTATTAGGTAATAGGTGACAGATTTATGAGAGACCTGGTGCCTGTCTCATTACCTGTACTACCAAAGAATATGCAGGTCAGTACTAGAAAGTTCATTTTTGTGATTCTATGGTCCCTGTATGAATTAAGTATGTTCAGAAGTTCACAATATATACTTGAAATTTAGGATTATTCTGATCCAGTTTGAAAGTGATAATGGCTTTGATCTGCATCTCTGGTGGCATGTAATTATCTAAGAATGAGAGGGAGTGACTCAGAAAGCCTGCAGTTTGAGCCTAATTAGCAGCTATGTGATCATCTGGTAGCTGACAAAGTCAGTGCAGAGTGTCTAGTTTCTTAGTGTTTAATAGTTTTACTACAAATAGTAAAATACTAATGCAGAAGAGGTCAGATAAGTAAAAAATAATTAATCTTCCTGTGTTTTCTTATTTGAGGGGAGAACCCAAAGCAGTCAGGGGGAGAAGCTAGGCAAGTTACTGCAAAAAGAAAAAAATCACATGAACAGTAGGATTAAAAAGACGAATGGCAAAGATAAAGGAGATTTTCGAAAGTGCTTCTGAGTCATATTTGCAAGAGCTTAAGGTAAATGCCACTTGTCGCTACACAAATTCTTCTATAGTACAGCGGGCTATACTCCAGTGACAAAAGTGCAACCCCCCCCAAAACTCCAAAGACTGAGCACCATCAAGCGGTAGATTTTAGAATAACAGTGCTGTACATGCATCCATGTACAGCAAAATAATTTTTCAATTCCCTCCCGACATCACCTAAAAAACAAAACCCCAACTAACACCCCCGCCACTTAAAATAGCCTTTTCTGACATATGGTAGCTACTGAAAGTTCATTAACTCGACAGCAGTATTTTATCAAAATAACCACTAAGCAGTATGCAAAACCGAAAACCCCTTAAAACGCCTCCTCCCCCAAAAAACCCCACCAAACCCTAGAAGTGCCACCCTAAAGATTCCACACTAAGAAAGGGTAAGGTGATTTTTCTTAGTTGATTGTTCAGCCCCTTTATTGAAAAAGTGGGTGGCTCTTAAAAGAGCCTTTGGGTTAAACAGTATTTCTGGCAAGCATTTACTTGGAGCTGGTGTACTTGGTGACAGCCTTGGTGCCCTCGGACACGGCGTGCTTGGCCAGCTCGCCGGGCAGCAGCAGGCGCACGGCCGTCTGGATCTCCCGCGAGGTGATGGTGGAGCGCTTGTTGTAGTGCGCCAGGCGCGACGCCTCACCCGCGATGCGCTCGAAGATGTCGTTGACGAAGGAGTTCATGATGCCCATGGCCTTGGACGAGATGCCCGTGTCGGGGTGCACCTGCTTCAGCACCTTGTACACGTAGATGGAGTAGCTCTCCTTGCGGCTCTTCTTGCGCTTCTTATCGCCCTTCTTCTGCGTCTTGGTCACCGCCTTCTTGGAGCCCTTCTTGGGCGCGGGGGCGGACTTGGCCGGCTCGGGCATGGCGACAGCGGCTTCTCTCCTAACAGCTCAGCACTGCTGCAGAACCGACCCGGGGGCGAAGTGAGGAGAGGGGCTGCGTGACACTTATTTATAGCGCGTCTATGCAAATGCAACTTCTGTCCTGAGCATTCTTATTGGTCACACCACAAAATGATATCACCACTCCCCAGTTTTTGCGTCTGATTGGTCAGAATTGGATTCGCCTTCTCATTGGCTGACTGCACAAGACCTACTTCTCAGCCTATCAGCGAAGGGTTGAGACAGTAAAACGAGAGCGGAGCCGGGGAGGGCTGAGTGCCGGCTGCGCCTTTCTGTGCCAGGAGAGCGAGCGAGCGGAGAAAGATGTCCGGGCGGGGGAAGCAGGGCGGCAAGGCGCGCGCCAAGGCCAAGTCGCGCTCGTCGCGGGCCGGGCTGCAGTTCCCCGTGGGCCGCGTGCACCGGCTGCTGCGCAAGGGCAACTACGCGGAGCGCGTGGGCGCCGGCGCGCCGGTGTACCTGGCGGCCGTGCTGGAGTACCTGACGGCCGAGATCCTGGAGCTGGCGGGCAACGCGGCCCGCGACAACAAGAAGACGCGCATCATCCCCCGCCACCTGCAGCTCGCCATCCGCAACGACGAGGAGCTCAACAAGCTGCTGGGCAAGGTGACGATCGCGCAGGGCGGCGTGCTGCCCAACATCCAGGCCGTGCTGCTGCCCAAGAAGACCGACAGCCACAAGGCTAAAGCCAAGTAAACCCGAAAAGTTAAGCGGCACGTTCGGTTTTCTGGAAAAACCCAAAGGCTCTTTTCAGAGCCACCCACAAAGTCCTAAGAGAGCTGAATTATCCAAACTACAGTGCAGGCCGTTTTGTATTAATTACTCAGTTTTTGTTTCAACTTCCTTTATTTTTGCTTGGATAAAGTTTTCCATGTTTTTGTTAATGAAATTGTTCCAAAACGTTCTCCTCCCCATGCAAGTTCTTTCTGTTATGGGATTTTTTCCGTTTAGTTCTTAGGTCTAAGAACATACGGACACTATTCGTTGAGAGTTCCTGTCCCACCTCCCTTTTCGGTCTATTTCTTCCAGTGTCTGATACAGTTCCAGAGATGGGAGGCGTAATCGTCTTCGGGGAAGGGAGGGGGAAGGGCAGCGGGCCGGGATTTCCGCTGGCCAATCCTTGGGCAGGGCGGGTTTTTCAACACTTAAAGCTTTCTTTCTCGTCGGCAACAAAAGGACTGGGAGAGAGTAGGGCTATTTTTGTGTCAGTAAAGAATACCGCTCCTCCTCCCCCCAAACAGACAAAGGCATTTACGGATATCTAAAGAGAAATAATTCAATATATTAGACATGGCTCAGTAGTAGCGTTCCTGGCAATTGCATTATTTCGTTACAAAATATATCTCTAAAAAAACGTACATCCGATTTTTTATCAAATCATTATAAAACATAGTTTCTTGTAGTCAAAGTAATCACTTGGAGGGAAAACAAAAGTCTACACTTCCCTGAAGTCGCCGTGCTCTACCGCGTTCTTAACTATTTCTTTCCATAATCCCTAGGAAACAAAAAACACAAGACACAATTGACCTCTTGACGACTTACGAATTGCTGGACCCTTGATGCAGATTTACGGACGATTTCGGTGCATCAGCTCCTTTAGGGAAAGTGTGGGTGGCTCTTAAAAGAGCCGTTGGATAACAAAGTATGTAGAACAAAACTCTCCTGGAACAATTTACTTCTTTTTGGGCGCCGCCTTCTTTGCCTTGGCCGCTTTGGGTTTGGCTGCCTTGGGCTTGGCCGCTTTGGGCTTCACCGCCTTTGCCTTAGCCGGGCTCTTCGCTGCCTTCTTGGGGCGGCCGGCCTTTGCGGCTTTCTTGGGGCTCTTGGCCGCTTTTTTGGCCGCTGTAGCCGCCGGCTTTTTCGCCTTCTTGGGGCTCTTCTTCACCGCCGCCGCTTTCTTGGGCTTCTTGGCAGCGCTGGCGGGCTTCTTGGCGACCGGCTTCTTGGGCTTAGCTGCAGGCGCCCTTTTCTTCGGGGCTTTTTCTTTCACTTCTCCCGGCTTCTTGTTGAGACGAAAGGAGCCGGAGGCGCCGGTGCCCTTGGTCTGCACCAGGGTGCCCTTGCTGACGAGGCTCTTGAGCCCCAGCTTGATGCGGCTGTTGTTCTTCTCCACATCGTAGCCGCCGGCGGCCAGCGCCTTCTTGAGCGCGGCGAGGGAGAGCCCCTTGCGCTCCTTGGAGGCGGACACGGCCTTGGTGATCAGCTCGGTGACGCTGGGCCCCGCGGGCTTGCGGGCTTTGGAGCCGCTCGCCGCCTTCTTCGGCTTCTTGGCGGCGGCCTTGGCGCCGGGCGCGGGCGCATCGGGGGCGGCGGTGGGAGCGGTCTCGGACATCGCGGCGACTTCCTCTGCGGAGCGGCGCACACAATTGGGCTGGCCCGGGTCAGATGCTCGTATTTTTAGAGCGGAGCCGCGCGGTGATTGGTGGCTTGCAGAGCCCGCCCCGCTGCACGGCCGGGGAGCCCTTCGGTGTGCTCGATTTGTGTTTCTTTGGACTAACAAAAGTGTATTTTCCTCGGAATTTCTGCCACCAAATCGCCCGGTTTCCCCGGTGAGGGGGGAGAAGAGCAGGTACTTGCGTTCGGGAGAGTTTCCTGCGGCAAACACGCGATTTGACTTAAAGGAGAGGCGATAAATCCCGTGTGCTGCTGCTGGAGAGACCTCTGAAGGGAGAAACTTTTGTTTTTCCTTGCAAATTAAAAATTTCCTTTTGACATAAATGTCACAGCAACAACTCAGTCTTATTCTTTAGAGGGTTTTCTTGGGGTCAAAGTTAAAATCTGACGATTTGGAGCTATCTTGACAGTTTAAATTGATTTTGAAGAGGAGGAAGTAACACAAACTCCTTTCTCAGCTCTGAATATGGATTAAGAACCGGTTCCTTTGACCATGTGTTTTACCTACTAAAACGCTAAAGTCTGGCGAGATAGTGTCTCATACAACCAACTATTCCACTTTTTATAGAAAGAGAAGCAATTTGTTATTATCTGGAGATTGCTGAACATAGAGTTGGTTTATATTGTCTTCCTGGAATTTCAGTACACGGAGGCAAAGTTACTCTGCTGCCCTATGTGGGGTGTTTTCTTTTTGTTTGTTTTCCACACAAATTTTTCTACTAAATATTAAGTAAATCGAGCTGTTTGCTTATCATGTTCCAAATGATTTTAAAGTATATAATCATTTAAAACCTTATGTTACAAAACTGCAGCTTTGTAAAAGAAAACAGTCTCCTGCACTTCTGTTGTTTATGGAAATTATCTTTGTCTCTGGTAATTTAAGATTTGCAAGGAGTAGCATTGCAGTTTAGTAATCATGCTCTTCAGTCCCAAAGAATAAAACCTTGTTTTATGTTTTCTCTAAAAGTAATAGAACTGTAAACCTTGTTACTGTTTGGATTTTTTTATATGTCTCACAGAATATGGCTACACAAAGGTTTAGCTAAAGCCTCTGAATTCTGAATCCCCTTCTCACGCTAAATAAAACCCACCTAATTATTATTTGTGCATTTTACAGCAATCACTGAAATAAGGAAATACTTTTATGACAGAAACTAGAGTGTTTTGTGATAACCTGAGTTTTAACAAGGGGAGAGGTAGGCCATAGGTCATTCCTAAACCAGGAAGGAGTCAACCTGATATCTGGTGGAAGATGGTGTAATATGCTGAACAGAACAGAGCTCTGGCTTAATATTTCACTAATCTATAACTGATTGTGAAAAAAAAAAAGTGTATTATCCATTGTCTTCTGTAGTTAGTTTAAGAATCATAAAGACTACACTACATCAGTACTTTGGTATTACCTGATATAACATATAATGTGAATACCATATTTAAAGTATGTATTAGCAACCAGAAATTCAGAGTGTTTGAGTAGATAGTTTTAGGGGCAAGTAATTCTATTTCTGTGTCAGGTTTAATTTACAATGGCTATTTTATAAATACTAAAATGTGTATAAGGTGAGAGATTTAGCTTGCTGTAAAATTGCGTTTCAGGGAATGTGAAATTATGAATAAATGCAATGAAGGGGAAAATTGTGACTTGCACCTCATAATGATAAAATACTATAAAAAAGGTTGCAGTCAAAATGCACCTGAGCTCTGCAATGCTGTAAGGGGAAGTTAATTGAGAGAAGAGCTAATCAAATTGTGACTTTCGAGGTCCTGTTTGGCAATACTATGTAACAAAAGTAAAGATACAGGGATTAAATTGAGTGGATGTGGTATTGCAGATATACCTTAAGAAATTGCCAAATGAAAGTAAAATGTTTTGAAGCCTTTATCTTGTATATGTAAAACTATGAGTGAACCTTTCCATTGATTTAGCTTCATAATGTAATAAAGTAGCAATTGCTGGGACGATATAAAATTTAGCAGTTGCCTAGAGACTTCATTGCATATAGACAGAGGAAAAGAACAGACCATGAGTGACATGTCAGCAAAATGAAAATTTCCTTTTTATTTATTCTTGTTATTTTTAACACATTTACTTCAGTAATCTTCACTGAAGGAAATATAAATATTCCAGCTCTCATTTGTGGCTTCACAGAGTCTTCATTCATATTTGTTGGTGGCAAAATTGAGGTGGCTAAAATGGCCACTATCCCAGTTTTCTGCCTGGCTTCTCTCCCAGCAGTTGCTACCCTTTCTTCATTTCAAAAAAAAAAAAAAAAAAAAAAAAAAAAAAAAAAAAGACTGAGTATCTATGTGTCAGCTTCTGATCTCCAGCTAAAATGTAGTAACTTAAACTAAAGAAATTCAGAAATTTCATGACAGAGAAGCTATGTATTTTTTTTTAATGGTTTTGCAGCAGATAGATAAACCAACTTTACTGATGCAGAATGGCTGCTTGGAACACATATTCTTCTTTATGTGAAAGAAATACATACAAGAACAATGTTTTGGAAAGCTGAGGTGTATTTGGCAATTTTAAAAAGAGCTGCTCTGCAGTCAGAACAGATAGTTAAAAAAGAATGAACAGATGTACTCAGGCAGAGAAGAAATGTGGTGAAAGATTACCCAAAAGGCAGAAATGGCAGTTTTACCTCTAGCTGAGCAAATGAAGAGGGAAATAATCCTGTTTTAGATGTAGGTTATTATGGAAATATATTACTGAGAAGACACTACATAGACTGTTACACGTAGTTTGGTTTTCCCAATGAGACTAGAGGGAGGTAGAATTCATTATTAATAAAGAGAAGGAAAGTAATATCAGGATCTCCAGCGATACTTCTGGAGAAGGCACCACTGTAAGTTCTACTTCATACAAATTATTTCAATCCTTCTCACCTTATGGGCATCCCAGCAGGCCACACTGCATAACAAACCTGCAATTTGAGCCTTCCCTACAAGTTGCTTCCCTTCAGATACCCAAATCTGTCCAACTTTTGCAGTTATCATTAAGACCTCTTGGCATTAGGAAGGAGACAGGGGAACCACAGCCAAGAGCTGGCAGTACACCTGAAAGCTATCAAATGTTCCCATCTGCAGTTTAGGACCTGCCAATACTTGTTCCTATGAAAATAAGCTGTGGGTTATATTTAGGTATGTCTGCATTAAGGAGAGGTAGCACAGTAGTTGTTCCCAAGCAATTTTGTTAGGAGGCATTAGCATGAGAGCCAGCCACACAAACGTGGCTGCTGGGCTGCCCTGCCTGCTGTAGCTGAGTGCTGTGCTCAGGCATTCTGAGGCAGCTGAAGGAGGCACAGCTGTGACACTCGGGCACCAGAGCCCCTCTCCTCGCTTCAGATGGCAATTTCCAGAGAGATTTAGGTGAGGGCCTTTACATTATGAGCTGCCTTCCCACATACATGTTCCACAGGAAAGGGGCGTAAATGCTCCCTGCAACCATGATTACACTCCCATTACAGTGTTACACCCATGCCTTACTTGCCCTCAGTGACATCATCTTTCATCTGAGTTTCAAATGTAATAACACTTGTGTGATCCAACCAGCCAGCACAGTTTAGCAACTTTTAACACCTAGCTAAGGAATTTTGAAGTGAGACCTACCAAACTCTAAACTTGTTGCAGCTCAGCAGAACAAGCCTCTGCCTACACAATACTAATATCTGCTGCTTCTGCTCTTAAACTCCTAAGTATACCGGGGTCACATAAGGCCTTCTAAATTCAGGGTATGAATGAGTATCTGTAAGGAGCAGAACAAATAGGTTAGGGCAACAGATGACTCCCCATAGACTCAGCTTCCTGGAATGTTGTACACTCCTCCCTGTACCTTTGGTTAAGGGTTGGGACACCTGTTATGTCCTCCCTTCTTCATTGCCATGTACTTTGGCAACTGAAAATCTATAGTCTGAAACCTGGATATGTCCATAGTTAGGAGGCACTGGGAAGGAAATCCGTCCTGGGAAAGCAAAAACAATGTCAGCAAAAAATGCAGGGGCCCAAAACCTTTCTCAGAACAGCTAATGATGAAAAAAAAATGGACTTTGTTTTTTACTCTGTTTATGCATTTATTAGCTTAACGCATTTTTTACTTTTTTCACACACATTTGAATGTCATAATCAGTGTGAGATTGAGGACACCTCAGGTCCTTTGACAAACTGTTCCTGAGAGGTGAACAACATTAACAGAAGTTGCATCAGCTATGGCTCCCCAAAGAAATTGTCTTCTCCTGAATTGAGTGCCTTGCTTTGACTTGCATTTAGTGGTGAGGTGCACCAAGGGAGGGTGACACCATGCTATCCTTTCATAGCAGCCTCTCCATCAGCAGAGAATCCTGGCTGCTCAGACTAGTCAGTAGCTCACATGGAGGGATGCTGAGCAGCTCACTCTTTCTCCCTGCAACACTTCTGTGGATTTTCTGCCCTCCACACTTTCCTGCTTGTGTGACAATGCTGTCTGTAACTTCTGGTACACAGGAGGGAGCAATGTGATGAATCTAAATGTCACTTCCCACTCCAGCCAGAAATGTGTTTGGAACCTAGAGAGGGACAAAGTGTCCTTGGACCCATCGTGCATGCACAGCTGGTCTGCAATCTGCCATCTTCCTGGCTGTTGACGCCCCAGACACCGATGTGACACGCTTCCAGGTAAATTTGTGTTGGCAGGCAACTCATTTTTTTGTCTCAGGCACTGACAGTGTCACCCAGGCACAGTAGGCGAAGAGCCAGAGCCCTGTGTAACACACCACGCGAAGGAGATCTCCTTAAGTGGTGCTGCCTTCCTGTTATTCATCGGAGGTGTGAAGGTGAAGTAGGTACTGGATCTAGACAAGGTTGTTGGTGCCATCCTTCTACAGCAGGAGTATTGCAAGTTAGCATTTGGGAACTCACTGCATAGGATGTTTTCCCATAGAAGGGAACAAAAAGGTTTTGAAGAGTTGTTCACTGGGTAAGTGTTGTGCTGTAGTTCCTGCTT